CCAGCCACTCCTCGGAAGGAAGGTTGGGCAATCCTACTTCCGTAGTGATACTGCCTCGGAAACCCAAGGAGGGGTCGCTATGAGTCAGGGCTGACTCGACAGCACATAACAACAACAACAACAACAAGTGTGGTAATGGTGGCAAGACATAGTATAGGAAGATAATAATTTACATTTCTTAGCATTTTAGAGATTTCATAAACATGAAACAATCAGATTCCCATTACAACCTAATGTACGTAAGGGCAGGCATTAAAATATCTGGGTTTTGCAGGATATTTTTCCTCTCATCTATCAGGTTGCATCTCATATCTAAATTATCTTGATCTAGTGAAATAAAAATAAGGAGAAAATGGACAATACGAGTGGAGTCAATGTAAAGTTTACAAGCTGGACAGGAATCTGTAGTCATCCTTCTTGGTAAGACTATTTTGCCTGGCCAGAACCCAATGGCTAACCTCTTCTTTGCATAGCTCTTCCCAATAAGATACTCACCTGGGCCCCAGCAGCAAAAGAAGGCCACTGGGTAGAAACGCACTCTCTGTTCCAGAATGTGAATCACTGCCCACTGTTCACTCCCCAGAAAGCCAGTCGATTTCACAAACCTCTTATACAGTGTCTGTGCTTGAATGAGTAAGACCTAGATGTGGGTGTAGGAGACAGCAGTTTGCCTCAGGCTTGATAAAATGTCCAAGGCCTATTTTGCTATCATTTTAGTGAGATTAATCTCTTAGAAACAGTCATTATCTCTTCTTCACCATCTGAGATCAGACCTTTGCTGAGAGGAAATTATATTCAGAGAGAACTTTTAGTTGGCCAGGGAAATGGACAGATATTAACCAACCTTATGGTTAACAACTTCAATCAATACATGAACTTATTTACATCAAACCTCAGACTCCCCTCACCAAAGATAAATGAGATGAATTGTGATATTTCACATGGGAAGTGAAAACTAAGATCTAACAAGATCCTCTTTTAAGATACTTTATTAGAGATGTGTTAGAAAGAGTTCTATACTTAATACCATTAAAATTAATACTTTAGCATCATGGCTGAATTTAAATTCTCAGTTCTGAGTTTAAAAAAAAAAAAAGTTTTAAAAGTCTCTTCTTGCCCATAGACGGCAAATAAATTGTTTTATCCTCTCATGCAGAGGCTATCTCAATAAAACCTAGCTAATGAAAGAAATATAAATCAGTTCAGAAGTCTACTTTATGTGTGAAGGGGGCAGGGTAATAATTTCTGTAACATCTCAGGCCAAATCGGAATCCCTTTCGTAATAATCCAGATCTGCTGTCTAAAATAAGAACCAAATTACATAGTTAATTAAGCTCAGTGTAGTGTAGTCAATTACATAGTGTGGCTTTTCTATCCCTACATCTTTACAAACTGTGGTAGAATCCACCATGAGCAAGCGCGTAGCTCCTGATTGCTTAAGTTATCCACCTGGGGTATTTCTGTTGCACTAGCATGAAGCAATCTTCTGGGAAGTTTGCTCTCTCTCAGGTGTATAGAATTCTGATGTTGGGATTGGTTAGTAGTCACTCTGCCAGGCTCAAAAGGAGCCCTTCTAGAGGCAGAAGAAGTCTCTCTGACTGCTGGCTGAGAAAGACATGCTGCTGAGAGACACATGCTTCTGAGAGACATGAGAGACACACGCTGCTGAGAGAGAGATGCGAAAGACATGTGCTGCTGAGAGAGACCTCAAAAGACACGTGCTGCTAAGAGACACTGAGAGAGACCGTCAGCTGAGAGACAGCAGGCTGAGAGAGACTGAGCGCATTTCTGAACTTGAGTTGCATCCTGTTGCTTCCCTAATAAACCCCATAATCTGTGAGTTCTGTGTGGCCACTGCAGTGAATAACTAAACCCAGCAGAGAGGTGGTGGGTGCTGTGGGGGTTGGTGAAAGGGCTGGAAGGAGGCAGCATGTCTGGCCTCACAGAGATAGGCCTTGGGCTACGGCGATTCTGTCTTCCTCTTGTGGGGATAGAGGAGGTCAGAAGATGCAGCCTCCCTGTCCCTTTGGCACTCAGGTTTATAATTTCCTTTTCCCCCAGAAATAAGAATTGAAAGGAGGCTTGATCTCACTTAACAATATTTATGCAGTAAATTCTACTGTATCTCTCAGTAGAATCAGTTCACCAGCTGTTGATTTAAAAAGAACATACACTCCTAATTCTGAATGCTCAATGAGATCTGAACTATTAGGAAGCAAACAGGAATCTCATGGTGTCAGGCTTTGGGTATTACCTCTTGCTTGTCAATCAGCTCCAAATCAAAGCCACTTTAGCATAAACTCGTTATTGTACACTCTACAAAGCTGCTGATTTGAGCTGAGTTGTTAGCTCCCTGTCTCCACCGTGTGTCTGTCAGTTTGTTGTACTGATGTAGCTTGCATGTTGCTGTGATGCTGGAAGCTATCCCACCAGTATTTCAAAAACCAATGGGGTCACCCATAGTGGACAGACGTTAGCAAAGCTACCAGACTAAAACAGACTAAGAAGGATGTGGCCAGGTCCACATCTGGAAAAAAAAAAAAAAAAAAAAATGGCCACTGAAAACCTTATGAATAGCAGGGAAATACTGTCTGATATAGTGCTGGAAAATGAGCGCTTCAGTTTGGAAGGCACTCAAAATGCAACTGGTAAGAGCTGTTTCCTCAAAGTAGAGTCTAACTTAATGACATGGATGGAGTAAATCTTTTGGGACCTTCTTTTTCATGAATCAAAATGAAAAGAAACAACTGGAAACATCCATAAATAATTGTAATGTGGAATGTACACAGTAGGAATTTAAAAAATCAGAAGTTGTCACAAATGAAATGGAACTCATAAAGATCAAGACCCTAGGTATTAATGAGCTGAAATGGACTGGTACTGGCCATTTTGACTCAGATACTATCATATGGTCTATCTACTAAGCCAGGAATGACAAAGAGGAATGGCACTGCATTCATCATCAAAAAGAACATTTCAAGATCTATCCTGAAGTACAATGCTGCCAGTAATAGGATATATATCATAAGCCTATGAGGCAGACCAGTTAACACAATTATTATTCAGATTTACATACTAACCACTAAAGCCAAGGATGAAGAAATTGAAGATTTTTTAAAATCAATTTTTGTAGTCTGAAACTGACCAACATGAAATAATGATAATTACTTGTGATTGGAATGCGAAAGTCAGAAACAAAGAAGCAGCATAGGTAGTTGAAAAATATGGCCTTGATAAAAGAAAATGATGCAGGAGACTACATGATACAATTTTGCAAGACCAATGACTTAGTCATTGCAAGTATCCTTGATAAACAACGTAAACAGTGACTGTACATGTGGACCTCATCAGATGGAATACACAGTAATCAAATCAACTATATCCGTGGAAAGAGACAATGGAGAAGCTCATATCATCAGTCAGAACAAAGCCAGGGGCCAACTGTGGAACACACCATCAATTGTTCATACACAAGTTCAAACTGAAGCTGAAGAAAATTAAAACAACTCAACGAGAGCAAAAATATGACCTTGATTATATTCCATCTGAATTTAGAGATCATCTGAAGAAGAGATTTGATGCATTAAAAACCAAAAACTGAAGACCAGACAAGTTGTGGGATGACATCAAGAAAATCATGCATGAAGAAAGCAAAAGCTTACTAAAAAAAACAGAAAAGGAAGAAAAGACCAAAATACTTATCAGAAGAGACTCTGAAACATGCTCTTGAACAGAGAGTAGCTAAAGTGAATGGAAAAAATGATGAAGCAAAAGAGCTGAACATAGATTTCAAAGGGCAGCTCAAGAGGACAAAGTAAAGTACTACAACGAAATATGCAAAGACCTGGAGTTAGAAAATCAAAAGGGAAGAACACACTCGGCATTTCGCAAGCTGAAAGCACTGAAGAAAAACTTCAAGCCTAGAATTGTGATATGGAAGGACTGTATGGACAAAACACTGAATGATAAAGGAAGCATCAAAAGAGGATGGAAGGAATGTACAGTCACTGTACCAAAAAGAATTGGTTGAGACTGAACACTATAGAAAGTAGCATATGATTAAGAACTGATGTCACTGAACAAAGAAGTCCAAGGTGCACTGAACACACTGGCAGAAAACAAGGCTCCAGAAACTGACAGAATGGCCATTGTGATGTTTCAAGAAATAGGCACAGTGCTGGAGGTGCTCACTTGTTTATGCCAAGAAATGTGGAAGACAGCTGCCTGGCCAACTGACTGGAAGAAATCCGTATTTGTGCCTGTTCCAATAAAAGGTGATCCAAAAAAATGCAGAAGTTAATGGACAATATCATTAATATCATATGTAAATAAAATTTTGCCAAAGATAATTTGTAAAAAATAACAGTATATGTAGATGATAGATACAACATTTCTCGCTGAAAATGAAGAAGACTTGAAACACTTACTGACAAATATCAAAGATGACACCCTTCAGTATAGATTACACCTCAACATAAAGAAAAAAATCCTCACAACTGGACCAATAAGTAAAATCATGATAAATGGAAAAAACACTGAAGTTGTCAATGATTTCATTTCACTTGGATCCGTAATCAATACTCATGGAAGCAGCAGTCAAGACATCAAATGACGTATTGCACTGGCATACCTGTTGCAAAAAAAATCTCAAAACTCAAACTCACTGCCACTGAGTCGATTCTGACTCACAGAGACTCCCATTTGCTTTCCAAGGCTGTAAATCTTTATAGAAGCAGACTGCTTCATCTGTCTTCCACAGAGTAGCTAATGGGTTAGAACCACTGACCTTCTGGTTAGCAGCCAAATGTCTTAACCACTATACCACCAGAGCTCCTTAAATTCTTTAAAGTGTTTAAGAACAAAGATGTCAACAAAGACATCACTATGAAGACTAAGGCATGCCTGACCCCAAACATGGTATTTTCAGTAGCTTCATATCCATGTGAGAGCTGGACAATAAATAAGGAAGACTGCAGAAGAACTGATGCATTTGAATGTGGTGTTGGTTAAGAATATCGAACGTACCATGGACTGCCAGAAGAATGAACAAATCTGTCTTGGAGGAAGTACATCCAGAATGCTCCTCAGAAGTGAGAATGGGCAGACTTTGTCTCTCATGCTTTAGTCATGTTGTCAGAAGGGACCAGTCCCTGGAGAAGGATATCATGCTTGGTAGAGGGTCAGTGAAGAAGAGAAGACTTTCAATAAAATGAACTGACGCAGTGACTATGATGATGGTAATGACTGGGAAGACAGTGCAGGGCCGGCAGTGATTTGTTCTGTTGCACATAGGGCTGCTCTGAGTCAAAACTGCCTCGATACCTAACAACAAGCTCCGTGACTTATTCCTGAAGTTTCAAAGAATACGCTCCAAAATTATATTGGGTTCATAGGTACCTGGACTATTTTCATAGTTCTTTGTTTGATTTCTGTATATGGTTAGTGATAATTCTGTCTAGTGATTCAAGTAGTAGTCGTGGTGGAAGGGAAGGGATTACAAACTCAACGTAACATAAATATGTGGACTGAGTTTGGTATGAACAGTAGAAAGTGGAGAACGCTGTAGAGAACTGGAGAGGATATACAATAATGTAAATTTTTAAATGTAATTTTTAAAGAAATGTTGAACTAGCATATGAGGAGAGGAGAAAGTGATATTGAAAAGTAGATATGATAAATAAAAAAAATTTGCTTACTAATTTTGTACTAGGCAGTTACATGTAAATAACTTATTTTCCTGACCGATCATTTTAGTCCGGATGTTATCAAAAATGTTTGATAAATGCATAGGCCAGTTAACACTCTAGATGGACATAGCATAAATGCAAAATGATGGCCAAATGAAGAACTGAGAAAAGAAAACTCTATCATTATCTGGAAAATTTAAATCAAAGCACATCTTACGTTCCAGTGTCATCATTCTATATAAAGGATATACATGATATATACTAGTTTTCTGGTCAAGTCATCCGTGGCAATCCACAGACAGCAATGTATATTAGGTCTAGCATAACCTAATTCTCACAAAAAGAACACAGGCTCTTTTTCCCTCTCAATTTGATCTTAGGAAGTCCAAAAGACTGAGGTAGTAATGAAATTGTCAACATACCCTACCCAACTTCCTAGTTCTGCGACCACAGAAACTGCCTTCCCGTCCTATCCTTCTGAGTTAGCCCAAGCTCTGGGAATACCATCCCCCTCTCCTTCCCCTTTGCTAAGGCACGTAGGGTGGCATCATACCACAATGATGAGGAGGCTGAAAACAAAGCTGGCCAGGAAAACGGTGATCCCATAAAAATAAAGTGTACTACAGACAGAAGTGTTGACAGAAGGCAGGAGTTCAGCCATGGCTGATGGTGGTGAAAGCATCAGGATACATCTAGGACGAGAATTAACAGACAGGAGTAAGGCTACAGGCTAAGACTAGAGAAAAAACCATTCAATGCAACAAAAATTAATGAGTATGCACTTTTACTTACCATTTTGCTAACCCTTGCCCGTAACCTTCTTCCTTCTCATCACCACACTATCCTCCTGCCACTTTGTGTTATGTTTCTACTTAATGTGTTTTCAGCCTTGACAATACCTTGCTCCACTGCTCATTTGAAATACAAATACTGTGGCCAGAATTTATGTAGATGGTTGTTTTCCAACTCTAGATGTAATCTACAATGAAAACAACAGATTTTATCTTTACTTACCTGTGACTCTGGCTGAAGTTGCGGAAACATTCACTGGTATTGCCCAGACAGAATACAGGTATCATCAATAGTAGAGGCATCAGGCTGAGGAAGAAATACAAATTTATTGCCCTAATATCCAAACTTTTTCATGCCTTTCCCCTTTACAGAAGATTTTCCTGTTATTCTTCCAGCACTATCACCCCAGCAATCTCTCCAAATACATACACATTTAATTTCTTCAAAAAAAATACAATTTCTAGATCCTGTGAAAGTGAAGTGGAGAATGCATTTTATATGTTTTTATGTAGGTTAATGAACCCTACACAGAGTTTCATAGAAAGCCCCTGGGAGTTGTATGGTCAGATCAAAGGAAAAACCCACCCAGGAGCTTTGAGCTCAATTTGTTTCACTTTCCATGGTGAGCTTTGTTCTCAGAGCCCCTTACTGGGAACTTTCCCAAAGAATACCTGTAAAGAGCCAGCAATTCATCCAGCTAAATATAGCCAGCTCCTGGTAAGAGGAGGCTCCAAGAGTAAAAGTTACAAAGTCTATAACCATTTCTGATGTGATGTGACCACCACCTATGTGTGAATCTGCTCCTTTCTGGGCATTTTAACTGTAAGAGACTCAGTGTTATAAAGATGGATAAGATCTTCAAAAACCCACTGCCACCAAGTCAATTCCAACTCATAGCAGCCCCCATAGGGTTTCCAAGGCTGTAAATCTTTACAGAAGTAGGATGTTCCATCTTCCTCCCGGAGAGCAGCTGGTGGGTTTAAATCACTGACTTTCTGTTTAGCAGCCAACTGCCTTACCCACTGCGCCACCAGAGCTCCTAATGTAATCTTGAAGGACATCTATTACAGCTCTTCAACATTTGGAAAAGTAATTAGAACTCTCAAAGAGATTCTTTTTTTTTTTTTTTTTTTACTTTTATTGTGGTGAAAACATACACAACAAGACATTCACCAACACAACTTCTCCACTTACAGCTCACGGACACTGATGACATTTTTCACGCTGTGCCACCATTATCGCTATCCTTTTGCAAAATATTCCACCACCATTACCATAAACTCAATGCCCTGCAAACAAAAGCTTCCCCTTCCCCCTCTCCCTCCTCCCCCTGGTAAACACTAATAATCAAACTCTTGGAGAGACTCTTAAAGACTTAAGAGATCTTTGTTCAAGATCACACCAAGCAGATGGCAGAATTGGGGCTAAGACCCAAGTCTGTAACATGAAACCTCTGCCTTACTCCAGCTGGGAAAATGGGTCCAATGACTACCTGTTTGTTCTTCCTACTCAGTAAGGCCCTAGATCTATGATGATCTAGGAGTGAATAGAATCATTCGAAATAAAGGACACTGTCTTCCTCTTTGTTCCTATCTGGACACCAAAATAATGAGAGTCTACACCTTGCTAGAAAGAAAATAAAAAATCTTACCTTGACATAATGATGGCCATCTGACCAACGTGACATGTACAGTCTATCACCTATGAAAACCATAAATGTGAATAATGTCTTAGGACATTGCCAACCACATTACAATAAATATCAATTCACTGCTCACCACTTAATAAAATAAAACAATTTCCAAGAATAAGTTTGCTTCTTTCAAACAATACTTGCAATAAAATTCAATGAAACAGATATTTCCCTAGTGTTGGGGATAATAGAATTTTATCTGTAAGTAATATACTCTAAACAAAAGTAGGAGCTCTGGTAGCATGGTGCCTAAGGTACTTGACTGCTAACCAGAAGGCTAGCGGTTCAGACCCACCAGCCACTCCTCAGAAGGAAGGTTGGGCAATCTACTTCCATAGTGATACTGCCTCGGCAACCCAAGGAGGGGTTGCTATGAGTTGGGGTCGACTCAACAGCATATAACAACAACAACAAAAAATACAACCAAAATAAAGTCACAAAGAGGCACAGCAGGAAGGAGCTGAATTTAAGCTTTGGATACCCAGAGCAAACTATCTTTTCAGAAAAAAAGCAAATATAAAATCACACAATAACCCTCCATCCATGGTTCAGTCCTCTACTCTTTTAGATAAAGAGAGATGTGAATTTTCTAAGACCTTACGGGTAAAATGAAATTCTGTGTATAAGATGATTAGTAGAAAGTATAATAGGTCAAGATAAGCATAACAAGTCAGGTCAAATAAGCCTTTTGGATATAAGACCTGTAGACTCTAGGTGAAAGAACATTTCAAAAATTCTTATTGTGTTAAACATTGTAAAACAACTTAAGGGAAAAATGGATCCTACCCACTAGGAGTTTATGATGAAAGATTTTCAACAGAACACCTCAAAGAGATAACAGAATAAAAAACAAGTTGTTCTTCTATTTTTTAAAAAAGGTAGTGGCCATATCATATTCTGGAATGACACTGTTAAGGATCAGTAAGTATAAAGTGAGTAATTAGTCAATAATCAGAGATGGGTAATTGATCTGCCAACCAATTTAGATCAGGAATAGCAAATAATTTCAAGAAGAACACTCAGTGTTGATCCTGGGAAATAAGCAAAATTAGTCTTTGGTTACATCTCCCACTCTTCTCTTTTTCTCTTTTTATTCTATGCACATTAGGTAGTTATTCTGTGTTTAATTCTTCTTACCCGAGTGTCAATGTATCCCTGATTTAAAAAAAAAAAAAGCTTACTGATGATGCTTCAGGGCAGAAGTCATGATAAGATATTTTAAAAGAGAACTCAAAGATGAAAAAAGACCTCAAAACTCCTAGACTACAGCTATAAGGCAGTTGGTTAATACTCTGCATTAGCGTTTGTCTCTTTGGAACTAGTGATATACCCATGGGTTATAAAAAGAGGTATATACATTTATGTGGCTAGAAAGCAGCAGAATACCAACAATGAGAGCTAATCTTGTGCATCTCCCCTCCTTTCCCTTCAAACATTCATTTGTTCTCCTGACAGACAGCAAAGGCTCAGAAAAATACTCCACCATGTTGGCCCCATCCTTGGCTTCTGGTATCATAAGGGCAATTTCTTTAGGGAACAACTGTGGCTGAATAACTTCTCCCAAGGCCCAGTCAAGTCCCTTGGCACATGAGTGAGTGAATGACACATGAATTAATAAAAATGTTAAACAGTATCCCCAAAAGGCCATTGAACTTTGTAGATATGCATCTGTTTGAAGCAAGGGAAATCAACTGCTTCCTAGTAGTGCCTTCCAACTCCAGGATTCTAGTATTCTGCAGACCAATTTGTAAAAAGATATATACCCATGGGTGCTCAGCATCACACGGGGAACTCAGAAACCACACAGGTTTAAAGTATAGAAGAGTAATTACAAGCACAGACTCTTCAGAGGTGAGCAACAGCGTCCACACACTGAGCACAGACCTATGCTATACAACACAGGAGCCACTAGCCAGGTGAGGCCAGTTAAATTTAAATTAGTTAGGATCAAATTGAACTAAAAATTCAATTCCTCAGTCATATCAGCACAATTTTAAGTGCTCAAAAGCCACATATAGGACTTCTGGTAAGATGGAGGAATAGGCAGACAAGTGACATAGATCCTCTTCAACAAAGAAAAGAAAAGCCAATTGACAGAGATACAGAAGATAATCCTGGAGCCCTGAGCTTTGAAAGGAACTATACAGAAGTGGATTCGGCACCAACTAGTGCGAAAACCTGAACAAAAGCAGTGAATACAGAGACGGTAGGAGCTGCGGATTGTTAGCTACTCTGATGGGACCAACAGCCTGAATATTTTCAAGTGGTGTTGGGACCTAAGAATTGACCTAAAGGTCAGCCCTGGTCAACATGGCTGCAGGGACGACTGTGCTGGTGGCCTATGACTAGGAAGGGAAACAGCACAGAGGGAGACAACCTGAGCTGTGGACTTTCCGCTGTCCAGAGGGTGCAACCATTTTGGCTATTTAAAGTGACCAAGGGCACAGAGATTTTGAATGTTTATAAATGGTAGCCATTTTGACTGTTAAAGTGACTGAGGCTCAGCCATTTTGAATGTTTACAAGTGGTGGCCACTTTGAATATTTAAAGTGACCAAGGACACAGCCATTTTGAATGTTTACAAGAGGCAGCCATTTTGGATATTTAAAGTGACAGAGGGCACAGCCATTTTGAATCTTTACAAGTGGCAACCATTTTGGATTTTAAAGCGATAGCATTCTCATTTGGATTCCAGAGACCTAAGAATACGCTCTGTTTCCCAAGGTCAGTAGGGCATATGACAACAGGAAAGGACACAGGTGATAAGTGTATAAGTGCTGCCACCTTGCGAACAGAGGAGCACAGCACAGTACCCTGCTTGCGTAGATAACATACAAACGAAACAAAGAAAATGAAAATCGTGGGCAAGTCTCTCCAACATAAAATCACCATTAAATATAAACACAAAAACATCACAATGCCACAGAGACAACAGAGCATCACAGTCCACATAAAGAAGCAAGATAAAGCAGGAGAAACAAGGGACCAGGATACAGACCCAAAATACACCCCTGAGGAAGACGCAGCATTAGAAATCCCTGGTAAGGAATTCAAAAGAATTATATTTAGTATCTTCAACGAATTGAGGACAGATTAAGGAAAACAATGGCAAAATGGAGGAAAACACAGAGAAACCCTAGAACAATTTTGAAAGACAATACAAGAACAAAATGACAAAATAAATGAAAAATTAGAAATGATACAAAATCTACATACAGAAATCCAGAGGATTAATACTAAATTTTCAGAAATAGATAAGACATTGAATGGGCAACAGAGCAGAATTGAATAAATGGAAGACAGAATTAGTGAGACTGAAGGCAAATACCTGAACACTTCTTTGGAAAGGGATCAATCAGAAAAAAGAGCAAAACAAAATGAAGAAAGCCTAAGGTTCATGTGGGATACCATCAAAAGGAATAATCTATGTGTAATATGAATTCCAAAACAAGAAGAGACAAATAAAACCACAGAGAAAATAGTTGAAGATTTGTTGGAAGAGTATTTTCCTGGTATGATGAAAGATGAGAATATATCCATTCAGGAAGTCCAATGAACCCCAAACAGGATAGACCCCAAAAGAAAATCACCCAGACATATCATTATCAAACTTACCAAAACCAAAGACAAAGAAAGAATCATGAAAGCAGCATGGGAAAAACAAAAAGTTACCTACAAGGGGCAACCAATAAGACTAAGCTTGGATTTCTCAGCAGAAACCATGCAGGCGAGAAGACAATGAGATGGTATATATAAAACACTGAAAGAGAAAAATTTCCAACCAAGAATTATGTACCCAGCAAAACTGTCCTCAAATACGATGGTGAAATTAGGACATTTCCAGATAAGCAGAAATTAAGGGAATTTGTTAAAACCAGACCAACCTTACATGAGATGCTAAAGGGAGCCCTTTGGAAAGAGAAGCAGCAACAGCCACTAACTGACCATTAACACACATGATGATACAACCCAGAAACCAACCCAGCTATGAAAGTATCCAAAGTAAATAAGCCTACAAGATTGTAAACAGAGAACCAGAGGCATCAATTGACAAATGAGGACGACTACAAACCAAAAAGAGGGAAAAAAATCTGTGTCATTACAGAAGTTCTAGATGGTAGAAAACTCAAGACAACTACAAGATAGAACGGATTGTTCTAAACTTGGGAAGAAAACTATAAATCACAGGGCAACCTCAAAGAAAAGTGATAAAACTTCACATCAAAAAAGAGGACCAGCATAATTATTCAGCAAATACTAAAACAGTAACAATGAAGAGAGTGATAACATGATTCATAAACAAAACGAGCTCAGCATAGAAAATTACATGGAACAAAGAAATCAACACCACAAAAAAGCACATAACAAAAATGACAGCAACAAATTCATATTTGCCAATACTTACATATCTGGCAAGGGACTTATCTCTAAGATTTATAGCGGAAGACTGGATGACCAAACTATGGTATGTACACATAATGGAATGCTATGCAGCACTGAAGAATAATGTGGAGTCTGTAAAACACTGAATATGGATGAACTTGGAGGATATTATGCTGAGTGAAATAAGTCAATAACAGAAGGACAAATATAGTATTAGTTCTTTGTTGTGGAAGGTCAAGAAAAGGTTTATATATAGAGAGAAACTTTCTTTGTTGGTTGCCAGGGGTGGGAGGGAAGGGGAGGAAACACTGAAAAAAAAAAAAAATGCACTGACCCACGTCACTTTAGTTTTGTGTATTTCACTGTACATAAATTATATTTCAATAAAACGCATTAAAAATGTTAAAAAAAAAACTTGACACCTATTTGCAGAAAAATGAAACAAGCTTTGCACCTCATACCATATACAACAACTAACTCCAGAAGGATCAAAGACTTAAATGTGAAACCTAAAACTATAAAGTTCCTCAACAAAAAATTAGGGGCAAATTTAGGGGCCCTAATTGATGGCATAAATAGACTGTTAACCATAACCTAAAATACACAAACAGCAGAAGATAAACTAGATGAATGGGATCTTCTAAAAATTTTTATATGCTTCAGAAGACTTCTCCAAAAGCAGGAAAAAAGAATCTACCCTGACAGAGCCTGGTGGAAGCCCTGAGACCATGTCCCCTGGCTGCCCTTCAGGTCTGGAATTGAACCCACTCCTGTGGCTTCCAGCCAAGCAAAAGACAGGCATATGAGCTGAACATTTACATTAGGTAGATACACTCCTTGCAGAGATCAATCATGGAAGAGTAGAAGAGCTGTGTAT